TTGTTAGTTATCCCTATGGGTTCAATATTTGGGGCTTGGTAGAAAATTCATATATTACTTAATAACGATACGTATACTTGTGTAGTATCACATATTTAAATATTATAACTGTATTCCTATTTTCTTCATAGTGAAAAATTTAGCTAGCTTTTGCTTGGGATCAAGTTTTTGGCTTTGTTGCAAAGCGATAATCATTATTAAGGAAATTAAGCATATAATCACATACATTGCATTTTATATTATCTAGAACATCGGGATCATTCACCATGGGGTCCAAGATTGATCAAATAGTCAGTTTGGCCATGTTCTACCATCATTGATTTAATTTTTCTAAGGTGTATTGAGCTGTTCCTGAGTTAATTTGGGTAGTTCATGACATGTATTGATCATAGATTTTGATTTAGGATAGATCCTCACAATGGTAAAGTCAACAGTGTTCTAAGGTCAGACTAGTCAAAGAGAGATCGAGCTTTGTTCTGGCTCGTGTAGATGCTCTATCAATATGCACAATTCAGGTCTTGTTGTCGGCAACAACTTTACCTAGCTCACTTAATTAAAAAAAATATGTCAGAAATTTTGTTATTGCTTGTGCTTTGATTACAATCAGGGGCACGTAGGTGATGTCAAATTCACTGAGTTCCACAACCCACTTGAGGAGTCGACCGGAATGTTCTGATCAAGTGAGTATGGACTTAAGTGGATGGTCAGTGCTGGCTTTAATTGGATGTTTCTGAAATTACAAGTGAATTCTAAGAGTGAAATCAATGATAGAAAATGTTAATTTCTCCATAATTGGGTACTTGAGCTTGGCACCAATGAGCATACAAATGACATAGTAAAATGAGAATTGTTTCCCTAACTCCTCTCTGACTAAAATCGAGTGGATGGCTTTAAGTTCAACCCCAAATATTGACAAATTTCTTTGTGCAACCTTGGGATCTAGAGAAGCGGTAGTGACACCAAGGAATCTTTTAGTTTCTTAAAAGCTTGTTCAAATTCTTCTGATCGTATAAAGTCCTTCACTCATCTTAGAGTTTTGAATTATGTGACACTTATAACCTCATTTGGAGATGGACCAACTTTAGGCCTTTCATCAGACTGCTCAACTTTTACACTTCTTTAGTGCTCCAAGGGATGTAATGTCGATCAACACCTGCACCTTCACTGGTTGGCTTTTATCCCTAGCAGAGTTAGGAAGTAGCCCAAAAAATTGTTTGTTGATGCCCCAAAAGTGATCTTTAGTGGGTTGAGTCATAAATTTTTAAAGTGGTTAAATTATTTATTTTAAATCTTTTATATGTTGCTCGAGTATTTTACTTTCTACTAACACATCATTTACCTAAAACTTAATGAAGTTCCTTTCATTCTTAGAAGATATTACAACTATCATTCGCTGTTATATAGCTCTAGTATTTTTCAACCCAAAAGACATTATATTGTAACAATATACACCCTTGATAGTGATAAATGTGATTTTCTCTACATTTTTCAGGTGCGTCATTATATGGTGGTAGCTAAAGAATGTGTCAAAGAAGTTTGTTATTGAGTGTCTGATAGCTGCATTGATAAACGAGTCAATTTGAGGTAGGGGTGATTGTCCTTTGAGAATGTGGTGCTCAGATTGGTAAAGTTCATAAACATCCTTCACTCGTCATCTGACTTTTGTACCATGACCATGTTGGATACCCATGTTAGATACTAAACCTCTTGTATGTATCTAACCTCCAACAACTTTTGAACTTCTGCTTAAATTGACTCGACTAGAGTGATGACCGGGGTGCTCATCTTCTGCTTCATTGGTCAAGTTACTGGATTGATGTTCAAACAATGACAAGCGACATTAATCAGTATCCATAGCTTTTGAAATTTGGACTAGGCAAAAACTTCTCGGTGGACCTAGAGGGTTTTGATAAGCTTATCCTTTGACCTTGTGTCAAAAGATTTGATTATTAAAAAATAATTATTCGTCTCTCCTTCAGTCCTTAAGATTTTATGAGTGATCTTGTTGGCCTTGAAACCCCCCTTCCCTACATAGGTTTTTAAGTTCAAGTTGCTCCTGTTTGATGCTCTCGACTGTCCGAAGATGGCAGGTGTTGAACTACTCCATATTGCCTTAGACAATGATTACTTCTCCATCAGCCAAAAACTTCACCATCACATGTAAGTCAAGATAATGACCTTAAAAGAGTTGAGCAGAGCGTGATTGAAGATGGCGTTATAAATGGGTGGTGTGTCAACTACCAAGGAATCCTTAATGTTTATAGATTATTTATCATTTTTACCCTATGTACCTCAATGCTTTCTTTCTCTCATTGAATGAGCAGCGGAGTAGCTCTGGTTCCACAACCAGTCGATCATTTCCAAGACCCATCTTATCAAACACTAATTTTAATCTAATGTTCACTGAGGTGCTGGCGACTATAAGAATTCTATCAATTTGGTGTTCGCTGATCATTGTCATATTGATGATGACATTGTTTTAAGGGTTCATCTTAGGAGGCACAACCTCATCGCCAAAGTCGATGAGGGATGAAGCTGCATCTGAGAGCGATGGTAGCTGTGCATAGTTCTTCCAAATGAATCCTCTTCAGGTGGGCTCAACAGAACGAGTCTCCACCTCCTTTGAATAACATGAATTGTGCCAACAATGTGGATGGTGTGGGCTTGGACTGGCTCGTCTGAAATTTCTAATATTGAGCTTTCTTTGTGTCTAGGTTGTTTCTTCTAGAGCTACAAGCTCCTTTAGCTTTGTAGTCATGGTCAGCTTCTTAACCAGGCTTTAGAGGTGTAAGCATTCCTTTGTATCGTGGTTGCGGTCTCAATAATAGACACATTACTCCTTTGGGTCTTTAATATAAGCTTCAATTTTCAGCGTAGGTGCTCTCTTAAACTACTCTATATTTTGGATGGCCTCCACTATCTCGGCCATCAAGACTTTCAATATAGTCATTTATAATAATTCATGGTTAGGCAGCGAGCACTCATTGTACTGAGCCAGTCACTAGTCAAGATATCAAGCCCGACTCGCTCAGTTGTAAGTTTTGTCAAGCACTATATGGTCTTAAGGCGACTGAGTAAATTCATATTGTGGACAGGAGAAAGTGCATGAGTCATCCCTTGATATCTACTTGTCGCTTTAATTAGCCCTCTTTTGTGAGTGATGGGTGGAAGATTCTACTTTGAAGTATGTATGGGTAGAGTTATACTCCTTGGCAAATATTTGTTTGTTAGCTATCTCCAACAACTTGGATAGTGTCTGCGATCTTTGAAAACCCAAAGCATACTGAAAATGTCCTTTCATCCCTTGAGCTAGGGCACCATGTGTTATCACAGGTTCCAAATCCCGCACTTCCAACATCTCCCCGTGAAAGTAGGTGATAAACGAGCTAAGACTCATATTATATCCTTATAGATTAATAAGAGGGCTTGGAAATTCTTTCGTGACTTCTAGAAGCTAATAAACTATGCCGCAAATATTTGCCTAAAGTCTGTGAATAACACAATCACTTCTAGAGAAAATCCGTTCAGAACCACATGAAGGTTGACTTCCTTAACATGGTAAAGAAGAGGCATTTTAACGCGTTAGTGATTATAAAATACACATGTTCAAATTGAATGAGGCTATGTGATCAGTCAAATATGTTTTGATCTTATAGAACCCCAATGATTGGATCTTGAACCTCTCCTAGTGTTTGACCTTAGAATTTACTGAGACAACGTATTCTTTTGTTGTAGGGGCGCTTCAGTACACTCAAATAAGTGTTTGTCGGTCAGTACTGACCCAACACTATCAAAGTACTAGGAGTCTCCATCTATGTTGAAGGCTAAGGGGGCTCTTGAATCGTTGGGTGACAATCATTCCTCTCTGGAATGTTGTTCTCTTTCTAGAGCTATTGCCTTTTGTATGGCGTCCTGCATTTGATCCTTCAAGTCATAGATCTGCTAGTTCACAAGCTCTCTTATGCACTCGCTTTTATAAGTTTCTCCTCCAGGCGCTACTCCTTTTTTTTCTATGGCATGATCCATGCTTGACACACTATTGAGGAAGTTGAATCCTGTTTTGTTCGCGAATCACGCCCCAAGCAGTAGAGTGTAAGAAAGGAGAGAGAGATAGATTGAACAATAATGAGCAATAATACATCTTGTCCATCTTTATTCTTATAAAATAATCTCCCTATTTAAAGGGTAGAGGGCACAATATATTGATATTACATTTCTTCCTGTGCTTTTAATGGGGGTTGTGCTAGATATTTTATGTATTTTACATATATGTGTCTACTTCTCGACTACTTTTTGGCTCAGTTGGATGAGATAGTTTGACTTCAACTTTGTAAGGCCAGTCCACGAGGCTGGGTTGAGTCGACTTTGTCGGTCGGATAAGTTTGATTGGCTTTAGACTGATAGGACTAATTTGATCAGTACCAATTGGTTGATCTCCTCTGGTCGTTGATCCTCGACCCTGGATGAGAAGCTCCTGTTGGTGGAGCGATACTAGGCTATCAGGTAGAGGGTGAATCACCATAACCCTATAGGTAACTCGTTCCTTAACAAGGAGAGTTTGTGGGATGACTATAAGCCTTTGTAGTATTGTCAATTCCTGATCGTTGATGAGGAGCCTCGGGTCGAATCTACTGGAAGGTAGGTTGATGCCATAAGTTGGCTTTTTTATAGTGGTTAGCTCAAATGTTTTTTCCAATTTGTTTTAGTCAAATTTGTTCAAATTCAGGTCAATCATCCTTTTATCCTTCCTCTGACTCGGCCGGCCTTTAGCTTTAGGTCGGATAGCTATATCCAAGAGATAAGTGGGCCTCTTAATCTTATATCAATTGACCCACATTTGTCATACTTACTTACTCCGAGACCTTTAAACCTTATCTAAATTAAACTTATTTTTCTGATACATTATTCATTTTGTTCAAAATTTTACTTCTCTTGAAATTCATATCCCAAGCTTTTCATCTCCAACACACTCTTGGTGATTTTGTACTATTGGTGACTATGTAGGCACTTGCAGCCGGTTAGAACAATGCTTGCGCCCCGCAGCCTCAATGAAGCGAACCTATTGACCACTCAACTCCGATAACAACTCCTATGCGTTGGATTTTCGTCGCCGCTGTGTAGTTGTAATTTCTTCCATAGACAAGCTTTTCAGTGCATGTCCATTGGCCGGGTAGTAACTCCGTCCGCTCGGACAGCGACGGAATCAAGCAATTACCAGCGCTTCTATCCAAAACCAGCCGATGCTTATCCAACGATCACTCTTCCTTTCCATCTCCTTCAGTGGAGCTAGCACGGGCAGGGCGGCAGATTCTCTTGCGCACCATTCTATAATGCGGCTCCACTCACCTTTCCCCAGCTGTCGGTTTTTCTCTTTTAATCCCCAACCCCTCCCCTTCCCTGCTTCAAAACCACCCTTCCCTTCTTTTGCTGCTACAGGCAAGGAATCGAAGCAGCCCTTTGCTGCCCTGCTCCAGGCTGGCGGTGCGAAGATATCTAAAGATGGTAATTTTCTCAAATACTCCATTGAATTCGACAGTTTAGCATTGCTATCTGATGGATTTTTCTAATCTTTTGGTATGCGGTATGTTTCTTTGACATTCTTTCTTTAGATGTTGTGAGGGAGAACGATCCCGCGAACAATGTTCCGGATACAATATTTTCGAAGTTAGGGATGCAGCTTCACCGGAGAGATAACCACCCAATTGGAATATTGAAGAATGCCATTTATGAGTACTTTGATGCGAAGTACTCGGGGAAGTTTGTGAAATTTGATGATCTTAGCCCCATTGTTTCTGTAAAAGCGGTGAGAGTCTTGAGCTTGTTAGCATGTTGGTTTCTTCAATGTAGATAAGCTATTTGTTGTTTTGCTTGTTTGAGAAATCTTGGTATTGACATGAATTTCATTGAGAACTGGAGGGTCCTTGTCTACATAGATATTTCCAGTTCGCTAATGGGCGAAGCTTGCAACTTCTAAATGTTTTTTTAGGGTCTTGGGTATTGAAATTAATTTCCAGCAAGTAGCATGTTAAGTCAAGTAGGATTTAGTGGGCCATATAACTTAGAATTCTGCAAATTCCTAGAGATTTAAGTTCTAGAAATCATTCCGTTAGGTTATTTTTAGCTCAATTTAATATGAGAAACTATTTTGGCAATATGTTTCGGGACTCTTGCTTAAATGAAGATTTAATTCTTTGAACAGAAGTGTTATGATAGAAGCTAGTTAATTAATATCAAATCATCTAGGAGGTTCTTACATCAAATCAAGCTTAAATCAAGCTCAACATCAACCTGAAATTCCAAATGTAGCATCTAGCCTTTATTTTTAGCCAATATATCCCAATTGGTTAAGGTAGGTGCATAGAATATGGTTGGCTATTTGGTGTGCATAAGTGGCTTCATGATCAAGATGACGAATTTGTAGATGCTATAATATTTCAGACCACTCATTTCACAATGTGATGGCTAGCCACTATAACCTTGGAAGGAATGTTCTATTAGATGCTTATGCAATAAGGATGAATGACTATTATAAGGGGAATTACCTTTTTGATATCATATTTTATGATTTTGTTTAACTTTGTTATTTTAATGCACACTTTATAAAATTAATTATAAAATGAAGTTAATCTTTAATTCAAACAATTTTTAGCCAACTTTATCCTTTCTCTAGTTGTTTGTCTTCTTTTTTATACATTCCCCCTCTCCAAATCCTAAAGGTCTAAGAAGACAATAGAAATTTGAAGTTTATGCTCCCATAAAGCACATGTAAACATTTAGGTGTGCACTTTATCATTCTGAGCCTTCACGTTGCTTTGTCTGTTTTATTTCTTAATTTTTTCTTTTTTTTGTTCTCTTTTCTTATGAACATGTCAATATTGGTGATCCTATTGTGAATTAATTTTTCTATATAAAGTCTTAGTTGGTTTGGTTTGGTTCTCTGTGCCAATTTTTCTATTGTAGCATTGAGTCAGTGTTGCACTATTTCTTCATACATGTGGCTTTTCTATTGTAGTTATGTGGCATGTTATTGAAGATTTGTTGCAAATGTCTTTGCATGTATGGAGTGGGATTCTTCTATATTTGCTGATATGCAATTCCACGTTACTATGGAAGAAGCTGAAGTTTTCATTCTCTGAAGATTTTGTATCCAATACAATTGTTAAATTAAATCTTTCTTTGTAGATTTCAACCTCTTATTACAAGTATCTTTAAAAAACACAAGTCTATAACCGGATAATAAAATTAATGCATCAGAGGAAGTTTGAGAAAATTATTAGATTAAAATGTGAGAAAAATCACAATATTCATATGATAGATGAAGAGATCTATTATAAGCTCTTCTTTGTGCACCTGGCTTGAAGCCGGGTGAATGTTGAATGTTGGGGAATGAAATATATATATTTTTTATTTTTATTTTCCTTGAAAATAAGATATGGAACCTTCTATTTACTTGGGATTTAATGCTTGTTAAACTACTATTTGAATTGACAAATTATTTTTGACATTTTTTACAATAGTGATGAGATGAGAGGCTATGTCTACTGGAGGATTTGTACTATGATTTTGGATGTTGATAATATTATGTTATCTTTCATAGGGCTTATTAAAATAAGGGAGGTTTTGAAAGCCTCTGATTTCATAACTATGTTTACATTTTTTTTTTTAAATCTTATGTGCATTCATAAATAGAGGAACATGGAATGATTTTTAGCACACGTGAAGAGAACTTTTGGTTATTTGCATGCTCCTCTTTTTCAAGATTGCAAGGATCAATAAAAATGGAGATGATAATAAAAATTTGAAGTTTATGAAAAGAAGAAGATAGATGAGTTTTACTATTTATAAAAAAAATAAAACAAAATAGAAAATACATAAAGAGGGAATAAGAGCAAATAATAAGTAATAACGACTAGGGGTTGCCATTATAATGTAATACTCCCCCTCAAGTTGAAGCATAGATGTCAGTTTTGTTCAACTTGGATTTGAAGTCATCGAACAAAGGGCAATGAAGATTTTTTGGTGAGGATGCCTAATAGTTGACCACTTGAGGGCACATATGAACCACAAATCTCCCTGGACTCAATTTTTTTCATAATGAAGCGTCTTTCTATCTCTACGTGTTTGGTACAATCATGTTGGACTAGATTTTGAGCAATGTTGATTGTGGTCTTATTAGCACAGAATAGCTACAGTGGGATGGAGATTGGCATATGGATTCACGAAACATGATGCGTAGCCAAAGAGCTTCACATATTTTTTAGGATATGGATCGGACTTCAGCTTTAACACTGCTTCGGGCAATCACAGACTGTTTCTTGCTTTTTCACTTGATAAAATTGCCCCATACAAATGAGCAATTTCTTAGGTGGAATATCGATCATGAACTTATCCGACCCAATCAACATCTATATAAAAATAATAGATTGAATGGTGTGATGGGAGAAAAACAAACCTGGGCCTGATGTACCTTTCAAACAGTAGAACATTCGGCGGACAGCTTGGAGATGATGCTCGTAGGGGTCGTGTATGAATTGATTCACTATTCCAACTGCGTAGCATATATCGGGGCGAGTATGAGCGAGATAAATGAGTTTTCCCACAAGACGCTGGTAATGAGTTTTGTTGACAGACACAACATTTGAAATGTCAGATAGTTTTTTAAAAGGATCCATATGAACACAAATAGGTTTGTATAGAAGAAAGTTATTCTTTGTCAAGAGATCAACAATATTTTGCGTTGTGACAGACAAATTTCCCAATATGACTTACCACTTTCATGCATAAGAAGTTTCGGAGATATCACAAGTCCTTCATCTCGAAGAATGCAACAAGAGTCTCTTTTAAGCAGTGTTTAGAAAACTCGACTGGACTGGTCGGTTCAACCGGTTCGACCGTGAGCGGGTGGTTGGTCCGGTCCAAATGTACTAAAGAACTTGTTTTCCAAATGAACTGCCCAAAATCCTTTGAACCGCCAAATCGACAAACCGATTCAACCCACATTAAGGTTCAACGGTAAATTGGTTTGAAAAGACTTTTAAAAGAATAAAATTTAACAGCGAAAAACCAAGTCAGAAAGCCCATGTGCGGTTGTTAAAGTTGCTGTATGCAATATAACTTAAAGGAGAGGCGTAACTAAAATATAGAGATGTAGGACTAACTTAAAAAAATAAATAAATTTATTATTTTTATTTTTTTTATATTATTTTGTTCTATTTAGGAAACCGTATTTCTTATGCTTATTTGCCTGTACATAGTTTCAATTTTTTACTTTTTTTTATATTATTTTGTTCTATTTAGGAAACCGTGAATTGCAAAATGCCAAATAATATAATAGTAATGTTATATGATATTTAAAATTAGTTTTAACACACACAGATATATATATATATATATATTCAAAAAAATGGCTTAAGGCTATTATATGAGCCCTGACCATCCCTTAGGCACCAAAGAATTCAAGTACCACAACCTACACTCGGGGGGATTCGAACCCTAGACTAGAGGGGACTTACAACTGACAAGCAGATGCCCGACCAACTGATCTGAGTAAGCGACGCATATATATTGTGCGTGTGTGTTAATTTTATACGATATTTAGAATTAGTTTTAATATATATAGTTATATTAATATTAATAATAGGTTACCAAAATTAATTTTTATTCATTATAAATTTTCTTAAAAGGCTTTTATGTTGTCTTTCTTAAATTATGCATTTAAAATTTTTTTTGAAATTAATTATTATTAAATTTGAAAATAATATGCTAAAATTATTATGATTTTAGTTATTTTAATATTGAGGTATTTATTTTATATTTTATGATCAATTTTTTTATGTGAATTTTTTATGTTACGTTTAAATTATCAAATTTATAATTGAAGTCATCCGGTTGAACCCCCGGTTCAATCCCAGTTCAATCTTTGAACCTTAAATATCTCTTTTTACCTTTGAACCTCGAACCTCTCTTTTTATCGGTTCAATGTCCGGTCTGGTTTTCAGAACCTTGTTTTTAAGGGCTCTAATTCTGGGGGATCGTTACCTGCAAAGAACAATATCGTCAATATAGAAAATAAGGATAGCTACCTGACCATTGGAGGAATGCCAAAAGAAGAGGGTGTGATCTGATTGAGCCTAAGTAAAACCATGGCCCACGACCACCTTGTGAACTTGCCGAACTACGCCCATGGGGACTGCTTTAGTCCTTAGAGGGACTTTTGTATCCTGCACATTCGCCCTCTGGAGGGAGTAGAATCAAAGCCTGAAGGGAGAGAAATGTATACCTCTTCTGTCAGCTCTCCATTCAATAATGCATTCATAACATCTAGTTGGAATAAAAACCAATCCAAATTCATCACAAATGATAACATGACCCTAATAGTGTTTAACTTAGCCGCTGGAGCAAATGCCTTCTCATGGTCAACTCCGTAGGTTTTTGAAGACTAATCTTGCTTTGTTGCGTTCAAAGGACCCATTGGAGTTGAACTTAGTGCTGAAAATCCATCAACACCCTATGATTTTTTTATGCTGAGGAAGGTTCACGATGCCCCACGTGTGGTTCTGCTGAAGGATATTCATCTCCTTCATTACTATCGATTTTTAGGCTAGATCAGCAAGAGCAACCTTAATAGTAGCATGGATTTGATGGTCCGTCAGGGCGGTGGCAAATACTTTGTAGGTTGGCGATATACTGTAGAAAGAGACATATTTTGCCATAAAATAGAGGAAGCATGTCTGGTTGCGTACCTTACTTGGAGAACTCACCTCCCTATTTGAAGGAGTCGTGCTGAGGATGTCGCTCGTAGTGGAGTCATGATCTTGTAAGGAGGTAGTGGACTTCAGAGTAGGAGCATTGGGACGGGTGCGCTAAGTGTAGACATGGACAGTGAGAGAAGGAGATGGTGTACTCAACGTAACAGAGTACTTCTTGTCGGTGGGAACAATGAGGGGAACATCCATAGGTGTAGGATAAAGGATTGTTTCGGAGAACTCGGACTCCCTCACTTGAGGCCAAACTAGAAATATAGGGAACACTTTCAAAGAATGAGACATCAACACTCACATAGATTTTGTTTGTGTGTGGTAGGATCAAAACCAATACCCCTTTTGAGTTGCGGAGTTCCCAATGAATATACATTTTATGGATTTGGGATCAACTTTACTCCGAGTGGGGGCAGTGTTTTGAACAAAGGTCGTGCATCCAAAACCTTGGGATCTAATGTGGAGAAGACTCAATTGGCAGGGAAGCATGACATTAGGATGACTAAGGGGGTTCGGAACTTCTGAATTTTAGAGGGGACTCTATTTATGAGATATGCAGTGGTTAGAATAACATCGTTCCAAAATCGTTTCTGGATATTGAATTGAATATAAAGGTGACGATTTTTTTGCTTGACAACCTCATTTTGTTGAGGAGTGCCCTTACATAAGCTATGGTAGAGGATGGCCTTATTTACCAAGAATTCACCCAAAATAGTGTTGAAAAATTCACAATCATTATTGGTCTGAAGGACCTGAATAGGAGTTTTGACTCGAGTTAAAACAAAGGTGTATGAGTTTTGAAAGGTGATAACAACTTCAATTTGTCTTTTAAAATGTAGACCCATATCATTTGAATGTTGTTATCAATCAAGGTCAAGAACCATCTTTTATTTGTGTAATTGGATGTTTGAGAGAGTCCCCATATGCTATTGTGAATGAGGGAGAAAAGAGTGGAATGTGTATAAGTGTGGGGTGGATAATTGACCCGATGATGCTTGACTAACTGACATGTCTCTCAATTGAAGTTAGAATGATTTTTATTAGATAACATCAAATGATACATATTTTTCAAATATGAAAACTAGGGTGACTCAAACAACAATGCAACAACATAATGAGAAATTCAATGACTTGAGATAAGCTATAACTCCTGAGTGGCGTGTCCACACTCTCCGTGCACTCCACTTGGAATTAATAGAGTTTAGCTATAGCAGTTTCAATCATCATTTCCGAATGGTTATCCTGAAAAACACAACCATCAGAAGAGAAATTAACAATGCAATTAATATCATTTGTTAATTTGTGACAGATAACAAGTTACATCGTAATAGAGGAACATGTAAAACAAACTCCAAAGTTAGACCAATCGTTAGTACAATTGACCCTTTACCAGCAATGACATTGCAGGAGCCATCGAAAATTCTGACAGTATCTTTTCCAGAGTACGAATAGTAAGTCGAGAAAACTTGCGAATATCTAGTTATGTGATCCGTGACACCCAAGTCAATAATTTACGGACTAGAGGAGGAATAAACCGTAAGAGCCATAGAAAGAATAACTTGTTGGACGTGGGAGTTCAATGGACCCGCAGAGACTTGATTTGCTCCAATAAGTTTGATCAATTGCTTCATCTGGTTTTTCATAGATTGGGAAGATTCCGGGATGTTCCAGGTTGGAGTCAGTTGAGTTGTGGTAGGCTTGGACGTCGCTGTGAGATCCTTGGTAGCAAAAAATTTGTTCGAAGGTTTATACGCCAGCTTACCGTAAAGTTTTCACCAGTTGTACCGAGTGTAGTTGAGTTTGTGACAGTAATCCGAGATGACATGGAAGAAGGTTGAGCACTTTTTGAGATCAAGACGGACAATTCGGCTGAAGGAATAGAAGTGTCAAGTATGAAAAATCTCCTGCTTTCTTCTCAAAGAATTTCGATGAAGGCTGCGCGAGTAGAAGGAAGAGGATTCTGACCAAGAATACAACCCCGGACTTTGTCACGCCCTTTATTAAGGCCAGTCAGGAATTGAAACGTTCAATTTTTTCTACATTTTTCTAGAAGAGGGATAAGTCGACTGGAGAATCCCAAGTGTAGTCTTAGTACTGGTCGCAGTCCATCCATAGTGCAATAAGGTCATTATAGTATTGGGTCATGATCCTTAACTTTGGTTTTGACATCCCGAATTTTCTTAAAAACCTTATAGGTTGGCCGAAAATTTCTACATCCGAGTAGGCATCACTGACAACCGTCCAGAGGGAATTAGCTGAGGGGAGGAACATATATGAACGACCAATCGAAGTCTCCATGTAGTTGATCAGCCATGACATGATCATAGAGTTCTCTACTTCCCATGTTTCACATGTCGGGTTAGTTTTTGGAGGCTCACGAACCATACCTGTGAGGTAACCAAACTTTTTACATCCTTTGATGAACAAAGACACCGCATGGGACCATTTGAGAAAGTTATTGCCTTTAGTTTATGGGTTGTGATTAATAAATTCATGGTGGTTTTTGTTCCTTCGGTCTGCAAGGGAGCGGAAACTGGGGTTGATCCTTCAGTGGAATCAAGAACACATTCTGAAGGTGGTTCAGAGTTGTAGGATTCCGTCATAATTCTGATTGAGCCAAAGGAAATGTTGTAGTTCTGAGTCATCGATGAATTTTTGTAGGGTTACGACACAGGACTGCAGAGAACAACGACTGTAGAAAACAACTGTTATTGCAGATAAACTGCGACTGCTGTAGAAAACAGTACGAAGGGGACCTTGATCTAGGGCTACAGGAAACAACGGCTGCCGGCTGCTGGACAGAGGGAAGAGCCTGTTGAGTCACCGACGGTTGGATCAGAGGGAACCGACGACTACACAAGGATCAACAGAAGGTTGATGCAGCTGTTGGAACAGAAGGTTCATGCGGCTGGAACACCGGCGGCTGCACAGGAAGTTCGCCAGTTGCTGGAACTTGCGGCTTGAACAGAAGGTTCATGCGGCTGCTGGAACCAACAGAGAATGCTGACGACTGGGAGGTGTCGGCGGCTGGAACTAGCTGAGAAGGTTGGTAGCTGTTGGATCTATGGTTAGGCTCCGATACTATGCTGAGATTTGGAATAGAGCAACATATTATTATTGATAGAAGGAGGGGTATTTAAACCCAATTACAATAGACATAATAAAGGAAAGAAATAAAACAAAATAAAATAATTAGGAAAGAAAATAAAACACAATAAAACAAAAATACATAAAAAGGGAATAAGAGCAAATAATAAGTAATAATAACTTGGGATTGTCGTTATAATCTAATATAGTGAAACACCATTATATATGTAAATTTAGTACTCGGTAAATATCCAGAATGACTCATATTGGCGGATATAAAACAATTTTGAAAGTAGTGTTTGGTCTCAATTACCACTTCTTGATTATTTCCTGTAAAAATAATGTTGCCAACATTGACTGCCAAGAGAGAATAATTTGTGATGCTATTGGAAGTTCATCCTTAGCAAGAACTTTGCAAAACTTGTAAAACCATACATGAGGGCTTTGCGTAAGACTGTAAATAGTCTTTTTAAGCTTAAAGACCTATTCTCCTCCTAACAACTTGCCCTAACGTTTGTTCCATATAAAATTTTCTCTACACTTGTCATGTATATTGGCATGTTTTCCCTGCTAAAGATAGGATTGGCATATTGTAAATTGGAATATGTTCATCAAATAAAATTGCCAAAGCAATGAAATCGCCAAGAAAATAAAGAATGTAATAGCTGGTCTAACTTCACAAGCATAGTCAATAAATTTATTAAAAACACTGTTGTATTAGTGTTATCATTTCATTTTTATCCACAACTTCTGTAAATAAATCTATTGACTTTAATTTGATAACACTAATTAAATAAAATGCTCAATAATAATGAGATCATTAAAAAAATAAAGAATATAATAGTTGGTCTAACTTCATGGCATCGTCAGTAGATTTATTGAACATGTTGTTGCGTTAGTGTTATAAATTTATTTTTATCTTGCGATTCTTCATACTTTTTTCATTAGAAATATATATGCCATTCCTTATGTCGCTGATGATGTGAATAAATTCCTTTTTGCAGAATTTTGATGATGTTTTGGTCCCTGCTGATCATGTTAGCAGGAGTTATAATGATACATATTATGTTGATGCTCAAACAGTCTTGAGGTGCCATACAAGTGCGCATCAAGCAGAGTTGTTAAAAACAGGACACTCTCATTTCCTGGTGACTGGAGATGTCTATCGAAGAGATTCTATCGATTCAACTCATTATCCTGTATTCCATCAGGTTTTTGCCCACTTTTGATGTTGTAGTTTCCTTAAGAAATACGCTGCATTTTTTCTTTTATGTTTCAAATATAATCCAAACAGATGGAAGGGGTTCGTGTCTTTAGTTCCGATGAGTGGGTGGATTCTGGTTTGGATGGAACATCTTATGCTGCCATGGATTTAAAGAAATCTCTCGAGGGTTTGGCACAACAATTGTTTGGTATATCAAAATATGAGGGGCTATGACTGACATTTTGGGCTGAAATTTATTAGCTTCTTAAATTTCTAAAATCCTTACTTATGTCAATTTGCAGGTGATGTAGAGATGCGGTGGATTGATACTTATTTTCCCTTTACAAACCCATCTTTTGAATTGGAGATATATTTTCAGGTTTGTCAAGAATTTTAAAGTTTTACTAATTCCAAACTCCTAGTTGTAAAAGAATTTCACATTATTTGGAAGTTAAATATGGGTTATCATGTTTGGATTCCAATCTAATTGGCTTTAACAGTGCTAAGCTTCAGTAAGCCGGGGATGTCCATTGGTTATAAAGGGAAAATGCTGTTTAAACAAGCTTCATTGTCCAAACTTTAACTAATGATTTCAATTAGTTAATTTTAGGGGCATATAAAATTATGATTATAATCTTATATTTTATTATAATTTTGGGCTTTACTAATGCACGTTTTATCTAATGAAACGTTTAATGTGAGTGTTGTCCTTGATCAAGGCCTAATATCAATTTATTTGGTATGCTTGTTTTCTAGTTATCCAATGGGCAATATTGGATTATAAATCCTATCAAAGTTCTCTATTTTTGTTTTTTAATTTCCTAGTTTGATATTAGTAGTGTTTTTGGTTATTTGAGAATTTTGGTGCCAGATGTAAGGTTTCCTATTAAGAACTATGAGTTTTATCATCAAAGGAGCTTTTTATAAGGAATAAATTGTGACTGAATTTGATTAAAGAGTTTATTGCCTAAAGATTTTATGCCTCAGCACAATATTTAGGTGCAAGAGTCAAATAGCTCAAAAAGGCTTTAAATGAAGTTTTATGGATTGGAACAATTTTTTGAGTAAGGCATTAGCATGATTTTATATGTGATTTTATATGCCTTGGTCTTATTTAAGTTGATTAAGTTCAAAGTCCAGCCCATCATCATAAGGCCTATGCTTTGCATCATTTTCAATGAAAGGCTATTGTCATCATGGAAGTACATTTATATGTGAGAGGCCGGAACTAAATGTTGTGATTATTTGGGATCAATAAAAGTAGTGAAAATCTTCTCTATAAAAAGAAATTCATACATTCAAATCTAATACCATACAATTCTCATGAAAAGTTTAAGGGCCAATAAAAGTATATCTAACATTGGTTTAATTGCATTTGTACTTTAGTATATTATCAAGTGTATCTTATTCTGATAACGCACCAACATTAACATTAATCATTAGTATTTATTTTTTCAATATCAACATTATATTCTCCATATAAAAAGCTAAAAAAAATGAGTATATAATCCCTAAAATGATCACAAAAATATTAGCACATTGACACAAATAATTGTCCCAACACACTTGGAGCCATGATCACTATCACTACTAACACCTATTCAATAAGACCTTCATCATTATAATTTTCATAGCTGGCTAAAATAACAAACTTCATCATCAGCACTTATTGTGGCCATGTTTGCGTGCTACCAGATTATGTCCAGCTTTAATATTGGAAAAAAATTATTATACATGATTTTTTTTGCTTGTTTTGTGTCAAACATTAACATAGAAAGCTTTTGAAGTTGCCCTGCTTCATAGGCCATAGACCTTAATGGGGAAGATAATGAGCTTGTAAGAGGATGCTTCCTCTAGCAGAGGATCGGTATGTTGTGAGTTGCAAAAGGAGTAGCGAATGGAGGGTAAGAGAAAGAAGACTAGTATTTTTTGAGTTTCTTAGCTCATCACTATTTTGCAGACTTATGATTTCTAATTTTAATGTCGTGGTAAATATTTACAGCAAATTTGTTGAAATTTTCATAGTAAAAAAAGCCTATTTTCTCATTTAATTTGATATCTAGATCTGATAAAAAGTAACCATGAATTTGGAATTATAAGAAAACAATTGGCAAATTTAATGATAAAAAAATGATTTGCTAATTATTATTTATTTGGCACTTTAATGAGTTACAATTTTGCTGCGATTATTAATGAAGTGGAAAAACTTTATTTTAAATCTATTGCGAATAATTAAAGAAAACTGATAAGTCTTATTTAGGGGTGTAAACGAGCCAAGATTGAGCAAGCCCACTGTTGGTTTATGTTCAACTTGTTCAAAATATTTTGGCTCGAAATAGACTTATTTTCAAAATAGCTTGTGAATAACATGTTCATGTTCGGCTCAATTCAAATTTATTTGTTCGTTTCAGCTCGAAATATTAATTTATTAAAATTTAATAAATCAAATTTATATTATTAAATTTCAAAAATTAATTTTTTTATTTTAAACACTTTCTAAAGGGAGGAAAAATATCCAAAAACTTTTGCTCTCACAACTGCTCGCGGGTGAAAACTTTCAAACAATTGTTCTTCGTTTTCACATTTATGTAGCATTGATAAAGAATTATTTACGATGTGGAGTAAATATAGAAAACACATGGGGCAGGGTGGGGTGGGATTTTTTGTTGGAAAAAAATTAGGGGATTTACATACAAATAACCTATTTCTCATGTATTTACATATCTAACACCTAAATGTTATTTTTTACATTTATACAAACCATAACTTTTAAAATGCAAAATGCACATTTTCATGCCTAGATAAAATTTGTGTAAAAATTGAAGTTTGGATGTTAGATATTTGAAGACATAAGAATTGAGTGGTATGTGTGTAAATCTTCCAAAATTCTACCTCTTGTTTTTTTTCTAACTTTAGTTTTTTTTTTCCTTCTAACATATGTTTGTATTAAAGAAATTCTATATTTTTTGAGTCATTTTAGTGAATTTAATTGTTTTAAAGTTAATAGTAAAAAATTATTTTATTTAAAATAAATTTTAATTTTAGTTACATTTTATAACAGTCAATATCGAGCTTATTCACGAGCTTTCAACGATCTTACTGACAGTCATAAATGAGTCGAGTAATAATTTGTTCAAGCTTGTTTATTTAATAATCATGTATTTTAAAAAAGTGTTCAAGTTAATTAAACGAACATGAATAAGTTTCAAAAATTTATTATAGAAATATTATAATAATATTATTTATTTATTATTTAATTAATTTGAGTCAAAATGAGCTAAACACAATTAAACAAAAGCTTGTTCGTGTTCGGCTCGTTTATAATCGAGCTAAAAAAAATTGTTCATGTTTGGCTTGTTTGCTAAACGAATGAATCAAACACGAGATACTTAGCGAGCTGAACACGAGCTATTTACGAACGACGAGCTTTTCTTGACAGCCCTATCCATATTAATTTGATGTATTAGTTAGCTACGGCATTGCTACATATATTGTATCTTCAGCAAAAATATGTATCTGTAGCAAATATATGCAGCAAATCTGTTGCCAAGTAATAGCAAATCTGCACTATTTTGATCTTGCTTGGGCTGATCGGCACAAAATTATAGTTCCTAACATATCTTTTCCAAAGCATATTTTTATAGTTGTACTCTTGTGGTAGTGATTTTAAGCATTGCTCCAAGTCCTCCCTCAATTGTGAACTCAGAACTCAACGTTACATACATACTACTCAATTCGTATGTTTTTATAAGTTCAACACTTCAACTTTGCTTTTAACATTTATACCACCCAAATCTTTCGTATCACATGAAAAATACCACCATTTTAACTTTTAAAAAGTGAAACACACCTTTTCATGCATAGGTAAGGTGGTATGTATAGAAAAATTGAAGTTGATCTGTTATATATGTCAAAACATAAGAATTGAGCTTTATATATGTGCAACTTTCTTTTTTTTATTTTATTTTGCACGAGTTATGATGTTTTTTGTATACGAGTAAAGTTGCTTTTTTTACTGTTTCCATTGTCATTCTTCTGATATACTTTTATTTAAATATTCCCAGGGGAAATAATTTGATCTTTAATTGTCATTTAGGAGAAATGGATGGAAGTATTGGGATGTGGAGTGACTGAGCAGGAGATACTGAAAAGAAATGGAAAAATAAATTCTGTCGCTTGGGCGTTTGGTCTTGGCTTGGAACGATTAGCCATGGTTCTTTTTGATATACCAGATATTCGGTTGTTTTGGTCAACCGATCAACGTTTTACTTCCCAGGTGCTCTTTAGATTTTTTTTCCAGTAACCAAATATTTTTCTTTATGCATTTTGATAATCATTTTAAGAATTATTTAATTACTATCAATAATTTCGAAGTTCTAACCAAGCTTTTCTTGCGTACAGTTCTCTGAGGGAAAGCTTGGCATCAAGTTCAAATCATTTTCTAAGGTATGAAAGATTTTCCATAGAATGACTTATGATAAGCTTTGCAATCTTACATTCAATTTTGGAAGTTTATTAAGTTAAAGGAAGATTTGCATACATACCACTCAATTCCTATGCATTTACATATCTCATTTACATATATTCCTATGCATTTACATATCTAACATCTAAACTTTAATTTTTATATATATGCCACCTTGCCGACGCATGAAATATCTATTTCCATTTTTAAAAGTCAAAATAGTGGTATTTTTGATGTGTTATGAAAGACTTGGTGGTTTAAATGTAATAAGTAAATTTTATGTATTATATATATAAATATATATGAATTGGTATGTATGTAAATGCCCCTTAAGTTAAATATACTTCAAGCAATGAAATTAACCATGTATAATATACTTTGGGTGCAATGATCACCTTGATAAACAAACCTACCAACTGTAAACCTGTTGAAACTAGCATCGAAATTTCATGGCAGTATCATCTAAATATTGGATTAGACCAAGGAGAAATACTTATTATTATGATCTCAAAACTTTATTATTAATGTACAATCAAGTAATAATGGTTCTACGATTGTGTTTTTTTGCACCTTTTTTACAAGTTACAGATGCCTAAGGGCTTGTTTGGGATAATTTTTTGTTTTTAGTTTTTTATTTTAATTTTTTTAAAATTTAAAAAGATGTTTGTTGGCCTTTAAAAGATAAGCATGATACTAAGTTAAGTGTTGCCGAGATGAGAATGATTAAGTGGATGAGTGGCTTTACACTTAAAGTGAAAATGCGATATGAATATCTTTGTGATAGGGTTGGTGTAGCTCCAGTGACGGACAAAATTAGAGAGAGTCGTCTTAGATAGTTTGGTCACATTAAACGTCGACTATCTGATGATATGATTAGGAGAGTAGATGTTTTAGATTCAACTTATGTTAAGAAAGGCAGAGGTAGACCTAGGAAGACTTGGGCTTATTGTATAAAAAATGATCTTAATTTATTAGAACTAAATGAAAATATGACACTAAATAGGACGCAATGGAGAAGAAGGATTTATGTACGTAGTGGGATTAAGACTTTGTTGTTGTTGTTGTTGTTTGTTTATTGCATTTTTATATGTTGAAAATATCTAAAAGTATTTTTAAAACATTTTTAGACATAACTAAGCATTTTTAAATTATTTTTAGCAATAAATAAACATGTTATGACATAATCAAGTTTTGCTTCAAGTATAAACATAAACAAAAATAAAATAATTTTTTTTAAGAATTGAAACTGATCCTAAAGTGCCCCTAAAATTTTTGAATTGCTTTATTTATTTATATATTTATTACTATTATTATTTTAGAGAACAGGTTAAGGGGGATGATTCTATAAGTATGATAAGTTGTTTTTAAAATAAATCGAGTTTTTAAAAATTCATGAAACACATGTTAGGTTGTATATTTTCAAAAATAATTTTTGGAATTCTAGCAAGAGTAAGTTTTGAATTAGGGGCATGTGAGGAACTAACAATGCATTTAATCACCACATCAAATGACAAAATTAAAATACATTGAGAGAGTGAATTGATACAAAATAAATCGAATAAGAAGGAAATTTATGTTAGGGTTTAATCATTTTTAATATATTTCATTAAAAACTTTAAATATTTGTCATCAAATTAAATAATTATTCATAATTATAAATTATTTAAATGATAAAGTACATATGATTCTAGGATTTATCTTAACAGAATTATATCATAAATATGTAGTACATTATTTATAATGCTTTTATATGCGCACATTCTAATAATAAATCGATAGCCAAATTTGAAACTGAAAATTTAAATTATTTATGTTCAATTGGATCTATTTGTCATGTTTATGCTTTTTTCAAGTATTTGAAGATACCAAGTGCATAATGGAAAGCAAACTATTTTTTATTTTAATTAAAGTCATAAACAAATCAGAAATGAAACAACTTAAAAACAATATGCTAAAAGTAGAAAATTGCTCTTCCAGATTACAGGAGTTGCATGCATGTTAATGGGACTTTTTGTTGAGACACGTTAAGCATGCGACTGGCTCCTATCGGGAAAAAAAAATGTTCTAACATTATTTTCAGGTTTCTATAAATTTTCTTTAAAATTTGGAATTATCTTTTCCTATTTTTTTCCATATATTTATGGTTCACAATCTGTTGCTATTATTGTTAATACACTTTCAATAACTACAATTATCTGGATTATGCAAAAGAAATCTTGAAAGCTTATATCTGGAAAGTTTGCAGGGAAAGTTGTCTGTTGGGCCTGTAAGACCATGAGCAAGTCTTTTTATTGAAGCATCTCAACTTTTCTTATATTACTCCTATTATTTTCAACCCTAAGTTGCATTTCCCATAAACTTTTGATTTATTCGTGAGGATTGGTTTTTAGCAACTTTTGTGTTCATTTTACTGTTTTTTTCTATGGATTATATGATGCTATTTTACATAATTTTCACTAGGAAAATCAGGCTGTTTATTTGAGCTTCTTAGCTGACATTTTTTAAATATAGTTTGATATGATATTAGTTAATTTACCTTGTTATTAAATATCCATGAAATGTTCTTATTATGTGAACATTTTCCTTTTTGCAGTATCCACCATGTTACAAAGATATGAGTTTTTGGATAAGCGACTCATTCACCGAGAATAACTTATGCGAAGTTGTGAGGGGAATTGCCAGAGATCTTGTAGAGGAGGTATGCCTAAGAGTGCCAATTTTTTTTTATACTTAAAGTTCTATTCTCTATATTTTCGGTGAAAGATTTACATACATATCATTCAATTCTTCTTTATTTTACACATCAAACACATAAACTTCAATATTTACATATTTTTCATTTTTAAAAAGTTAAAATAGTGATTTTTTTGATGCGATCTAAAAAGTAAAGTTCAGGCAGTATATGTGTAAATACATAAGAATGAAAATTTTATGGCTACAAGTGGAGTATCACACATATGATTATAAATATGTAAAAATGAGTAGTTCGTGGTGGTAATTGTCATGGACTAAATCAATACATGTATTAAGGGCTTGTTGAGGATCACTTTTATCTTTTGTTTTTGTTTTTTTTTTGCTTTTATTTTACAAATATGTTTGTTTAGTGCATTTTTTTCATGTATTTATTTTCTTTCAAAAACAAATTAGTTTGTTTATAAAAATATTTAAAACACATAAAAATTATTTTGAGTGTTTTTAGAAATAATCATGTCGTAACATACCAAATATGTTTCATTTTAAGTTAAAAAACATAAAACATAACAAAAATAAAAATTAAAAGTGATTCCAAACGGCCCCTAAGTTTCTGAACCGGTTGAGGCAGCCATAGATGCCTGAATTTATGAAATTTAGGAAAGTTTGCAAACCTTTTGAATTTAAAAAAATGGCTATAATGCAATGCCATCTTGATAATATATTTTTGAATGGGATAGAGGAGGCAATCATATGCATAATCATCACGTGAACTTTGTTGGTGATATTTTTTTCTGTTTTTAATGAACCACTCTGCTTATTGTGGGAGTATTGATATATGTTTTATATCTATGAGGCTCTCAATGATTAGAATTATATACCTTATTGTAATATGACTTAAGAAGATTTACATATATATCACTCAGTTCTTACGTACTTACACATCAAACACCTAAATTTTAATTTTTACATACATATCAAACATCAAACACCTTACCTATGCATGAAGAGATGCATTTCACTTTTTAAATGTTAAAATGGTTGTGTTTTTGATGTGATATGATAGATTTGAGTAATATAAATGTAAAAAAGCAAATTTAGCTGTTATATTTGTACAACAATAACAACAACAACCAAAACAAAACCATAATCCCACTACGTGGGGTCCGCTACATGAATCCTTTTTCTCCATTGCATCCTACTTAGTGTCATATTTTCATTTAATTCTAATAAATTATTCTAATATTTTCATTTAATTCTAATAAATTAAGATCATTTTTATAAAATTAGCCCAAGTCTTCCTAGGTCTACCTCTGCCTTTCTTAACATAATTCTAATCGAAAACATCTACTCTCCTAATCGAATCCTCATATGGTTGGCGCTTAATGTGACTAAACCATCTAAGACGACTTTCTCTAATTTTGTCCGTCATAGGAGTTACACCAACCCTATCATGGATAAATTCATTTCCCTTTTTGTCTCTAAGTGTAAAGCCACTCATCCACCTAATCATTCTCAACTCGGCAACACTTAACTTAGTGTTATGCTTCTCTTTTAAAGGCCAACATTCAGCGCCATAGAGCATTGCAGGTCTCACCACCGTCTTCTAAAATTTTCCTTTCAGTCTAAGCGGTACTTTGCTATTACACAATAGCCCAAAGCATTCCTCCACTTCAACCAACCAACTTGAATTCTACTATCAATATTCCCATCTATATCACCATCGCTTTGAACAACGGACCCAAGATATCTAAATCGTTCACATCTTTTAATAATTTGATCGCCCAAAGTTACACTTCTGTCACTAGAACTGCTACTACTAAAATTACATTCCATGTATTCAGTTTTAGTTCTACTCAAATGAAGGCCTTTAAACTCCAATGTAAACCTCCATAATTCAAGTTTTTCCTGGGCCTTTTCTCTCGTCTTATTCACTAGAAGGATATCATCAGCAAAAAACATACACCAATGTACATCCTCCTGTAAATGTCCAATAAGACGATCCAAAATTAAAGCAAAAAGATATGGGCTTAAAGCTGATCCCTGAAGTAATCCAACAGAAAAGAAAAATATCTAGTCAATGCTCCTTCAATTCGAACACAACTAACAACTCTAGTGTACATATTTTTAATGACTTGAATATAAGTCGTATCAACACCTTTCTTCTCAAGAACTCTCCAAAGGATCTCTCTTGGAACCTTATCATAAGCTTTTTCTAAATCAATAAAAATCAAATATAGATTCTCCTTATTATCTCTGAACTTCTCCATCAAAACCTCTCAATAAATGTATAACTTCCATAGTATACCCGCTTGACATAAATCCAAATTGATTATGAGAAATTTTTGTAATACGTTTTAACCTATGTTTAAGTACCCTCTCCCATAATTTTAAAGTATGACACATCAACTTAATTCCTCTCTAATTTGCACACTCTTGTGCAACCCCGTTATTATTAAAAATGGGGACCAAAATACTCTTCCTCCACTCCTCAGACATCTTTTTAGTTTTTAAAATAATATTAATGAGTTTAGTAAGTCCCAAATCTCCTAAATATTTCCAAACCTCAATTGGGATATCTTCATGTCATACAAACTTTCCAACCTTGGTTTTCTTTAAAGCCTCCTCAACTTTTTTTTTTTACTAATGCAACGGTAAACAATGAAATGTTTTATTATTATTAACGATATTAAGATCACTAAGGTTTGATCATATTTTTAGAAATTTCATTAAAAAGTTTATCAAAATAACTCACCCACCTATGTTGAATATCTTTTTTTAAGAAAATCACTTTTTTATTTTTGATTTTTAATACACTTTATTTGAGTTTAATCTTTACTTTTCTTTTCTCTTTGTTTGGCTAGTTTATACATATTTTTTTCACCCTCCTTAGTATCTAATCTGTTATAAGTATCTAATCCCTCCTTAGTATCTAATCTGTTATAAAGATCATTAAAAGTAGAATTTCTAGCGTCATGGATTGTTCTTTTTGACTCCCTGCGGGCCGTTTAATATTTTTCCCTGTTCTTTAAGTTTTTACAATTAAACCGATTTTTATAACATAACTTCTTATATTTTATCTTTTATTGCATATTGTTATTCTACCACCAACTATTTTTATTTAAAAATATTTTTTCTTTTGATTCTCTAAGTATATCTTTTGCCTTTATCCCACATCACATTTGCTTCTTCATGAATATCCCAAATTTTGAAATCTTGAATTTTACTCATAAAATTAATTTTATTTGTATCTTTTAAGTTTCTCCATCTGATTCTGGTACGATGAATCCTAGTATTTTTTATTTTACAATTCTTCATCTTAAAATCTAAAACTAATAAATGATGTTGGGTACTTAAATCTTCACTCAGAATGACTATACAATTTTTACAATCTCGACGATCTCTTCTTCTCATAAGAAAATAATCGATTTGTGTTTTATTAGATCCATTCTTATAAGTAAGAAGATGCTCATCTCTTTACTTGAATAAAGTATTAATAATAACAAAATTATACGCTAAAACAAAGTCTAAAATAGTTTTACCTTCTTCATTAGTCACTCCAAAACTGTAGACACCATGAATATTTCTGAAATCTTCTACCACTCTACCGACATGTCCATTTAAATCTCCTCCAATAAAAATTCTCTCTTCAAGAGATATCATTTGTATTAAGTCTTCTAAGTCATTCCATAATTTATCTTTAAACCCTATATCTAAACCTACTTGAGGAGCATAAACACTTATAATATTAAAAATCTTGGTATCAATGATAATCTTAAGGGCTATAATTTTATATCCAAGTTTATTAATTTTTACAACATTATCTTTCAAACTCTTATCTATAATTACACCTACATCATTTCTAGTGCGACTCTTACCAGAATACCAAAGTTTAAAACATAAGTTATCAATCTCCTTAGCCTTTTTTCTTACCTATTTTGTTTCTTGAATACATAAGATATTAATCTTTCTATGAATTATAATATCAACTAATTCCATTTATTTACCATTGAGGGTACATATATTCCAAGATCCTATCCTAATATTAATTTCATTAGTTTCATGGATTAACTTCTTTACCCGCATCCGTCCATAATGTGGGAACTCTTGCTTATTTGGCACTACATCCGGGCGCCGGTGTAGCGGCCCTTGCACACTTTTCTCTGTATTCAGGCTATACGGCGCGTCGCTTCCATGGGACGTCCTGACACTTACACAATGATCAAAATGATTCATGTCATGATTTTTTTGACAAATTTTACGCTGGTTGTCGACTATCTAACGCAACCTCTAACGCAACCCTCTCCACTTTTCATATCCGGGCTTGGGACCGACAATAGCAATGTTAGCTGTTATATTTGTAAATACATAAAATTGAGTGGTATGCATGTAAATGCCCTACGACTCATTGTAATCGTAGGACTGTCTTTACAAATACGAATTATGATCTATGTGTGATGGGAGTCACACATAATAATTATTTTATGTTTCAACTATTTCATCTAACACCTTTAGGTAATAATCCACCCAGAGGATATAATTCTTTTAATTCCTATTAGCATGGTCCGTGATTTCTGGAGCATATATTTAACGATATGCTCTTTTTAACTGAAATCTAAATCATATTCATAATATTGCTCTGAAATTATTGTTGCTTATGTGCTGAAACATGCCAACAAATTTATACCATTGATTTGGTAGCTCAATAGATAAATTTTAATTGTATCTTTTTGTCTTTACCTTTCAGGCTTTCATTTGTAAAACCAGGGAGTAATTATATTATTTTATTATTATTCCATTCACTAATTACAACTCAGATCTATACAAAAAACAAATCAAGCAATAAAACATGATACGCAATTACAAATTAGGATGGTTGATTTTTGGCTTTTAGAAATGCTGAAGCTAATCATTTTTCTTTCCATTAAATTGTGAGGGGAAGGGACTAGAACAAGAAAGACGGCTGTGTTGAAGGAAGAAAAATCCAAGAAGAAATATAAGACACTC